AGTGGGTCTTCTGTGATTTGCTGTGATGTTGGTTTCATATTCATGTATTTGAATTAAGAAGTATCAAACTTGATGCTTATTAGCGGCTACAGGGTGAGATCGTTAAGTTCCATGAATTAACCCATTAATGTAAAAAAAGTTACCAGATTTCAAATCGGCCAATCTCCCATTAAAGACGATCTTCAAGTTGATTTTCTATATACTTGCACATATCAGCTCAGCAGTGCAGATTAAAGTCTGCTGCAGACTGTGTGGGTCAATGATGCTGTTAAAACGTTGGATTATAACGCACAATGATTTTGACAGCAAAGAGGTCTTTGCTGTGAAATATTAGGGCGTTAAGTTCACTTTTTAAAATCCTACCTAGCATATTCACATCGATAGCTCTCTGTGTCGATGACTATTTAACATCATGGATTAAATGATGAATTGCATTGAAGAGGACAGCTCTGTTTTTCACAGCTTTTCACTAGAAACAAAGCCGACCTGAGACCAGCTGATTTTTAGTGATAAGACTTCACAGCACTATTTTGACTTGATGCATAATCATGCATAATGCTCACGTTTCTGCTGAACTTGCATGTGCTTTACTGTAATCTGCTCTGCTGTAGTCAGTGTGGGTGAAATGCCAGCATGTGGCAGACTGGCTCTATTCTCCTGCAGAGGGTCATGATTGTTTTCAGCTATGCTGTTAAAATAAGGTTGATACATGTCTGTTTAAATCCGCTTGTGCACTGAACCCACACTGACCGCGGTTAACACACAGAACTCCTTTCCTTTTCCTGCCCCCCTTTTTCCTCCCAAAAATTGACCTGTCGTCACAAAACCGATGGGAACATGTTTAGTTCTGATCATTTTGACGTTGCCCTTCTTGAATCCTTTGCTGCTAAATGAAAATACAAGTCAAAGCACCATCAGAGTCCCCTCAGATATGCACCTGCCTGGTGTTTCTGTCTGCTCTTCATTTCGAAGACACAGTGATGAAGCACTCGCTTTGAATGTGACTCATAAAGATGGGTTTTCTCCTTCCTCCCTGTTTCCCACTTGTTTAAATGCTGTGTTTCTTTGCAAATTAGGTGTGCATGGCTCTGACCAGAATGCTGCTTTTGAAGTGTTTCTCAGGTTCACTACCTTACGCAAATACACAAGTGCATAAATACCTGGAGTAACTCTCCATTTCTCCATCCTCAGTTCTTGTCACCGCTGTACTTCTCTTGCAGTCTTACTGTCGCTCTCGTTGCCTATACTATTGGATTAAACTGTTTTTTTGTCACAGAGTATGTTTGTGGTGTTGAAAGTGTCTCACCAAACCACCAGCATCATTCATGCCATCATACTTCTTGTCAACTCTCCATCTCTGTCATCCTGTCTTCAAAAACATTATCCTGTTCCACACTATGATAATTCTGTCTAGTCCACTTTAAACTCACTTCCCATCCGTAAACACACCCTCAATCCAACCCATCATTCCCCTTTCCCTGTGGCACAAAACTGATTGAGGATGACTGGTTCTTTCCTGGCTGCTCCGATCCAGCACTGGTCACTCGGCAGCAGGAGTTGGAGGAGGAGTTGGCTCAAGCTCGGGGGCTCGACCAGCACAGGGCCAAGAAGCTGGCGCTTCCATCCCAGCGAAGTCTGCAGGTAGGCGGCTCTTATTATAGACGGTTCTGTGGTTGTAGCATGGTTATACCAGCACAGCCTCAGACATTTGCTGAAGAATGAGCGGCTAACTGTACAGCTTAATATCAACCAGTCTGAGTCTTGTAACATTTTCTTTATGAAATAAATTCTGTTCAGATCAAATCCTGCAGCTCAGGGCAGACCTAGAAAAAAACGGTTTCACAACAGCCTTTTTAAAATCCTTTTTGCGATTGTTATATTGAAGTGTTTTTCATGTTAACATTATACAGGGTTTTACAGGGAGCTGAAAACTACATGCATGGAATCATCAGCAAAATAAGCGTTATCCTTTAGAAAGGCAAACAAAAACAATAGTTTTAGTTTATTTAACTGCAATTAAACACCAAAAGATATTCACTGGTCTGAGTTTCATTGAGAATAGCCTAATCTCCCCTTTTCACCCAGTTTCTTCACATTTTGCTCTTTATGATGTCAGTGAGAGCAGGCATCCCTAATGTGAGCAACACACAGACCTCAGCAATAAGCCGGCTTCAAAGGAGAGGAAAAGGAGCTAAAATAAATAACTGAGGGTAACAAGGTCTGCTGTAAATACGGATCAGTTTTTCAACTATGGATTGTGCTTAACTAGAGGTGGGAATCACCATACATCCCACGATACGATATTATCACAATACTTAACGCACGATACGATATTATTGCAATTTTTAAAAATATGTTGCGATATTTAGATTCTGTACATAAAGGTAAACTTTATCAATATTCATTTTATCTAATATCAAAGTCTCACACTCAGTCTTTCTCTCATTTCAGTTTTATTGTTGACAAACTGAACGGTTTGTATTACAGTCTAGTCCAACTTAACTGAATCAACCATCTGGTACAATTATAGCTATTCTGAACTATGCAGTTTATGAAAACTATGCAGCCCCTTCAGCAACTGAAGAATTTGAAAGTAAATTAAAACAAAATATAATTTTACATTAAACAAAAAAGTTTTAAACTTAATTAAAATAAAACATGTCTTAAATTAAAATAAGTAAACTGTCATGTTTATTGCTGCCAAAAACAAGTTAAACACATTTGGACAGTGAAGGAATGTCAGGATTCTTGCTCAGAAAAAGGATCAACATGCTCTGAAGTCAGAGCACAAAAACCTTTTTGTAACAAAATATCGATTTCTGCTGTCCCTGTATCCATACATTATTAGCAAACAAAATATCACCATACTACACAGTATCCATTTTTTCCCCACCCCTATGCTTAACTACTCCAGTCTCTACTAGTGTCTAAAAATGTATACATAGTTAAAAAATGGATGGATGGATACCAGTTTTCTATTTTTGGTTAATAACAGAGAACAGGAAGCTTACTTTATTCAAAGAGGAAGAATAATCTCGCTACCTGCCTGTTTTATCCTGTTTGGCTTGTACACCGTAGACTCGCAAAAACAGTTTGCCTTTTTTTCCTAAATGTCAAACGATTGCTTAAAATATAATCCCCTGCTACAACAAACTTTTGCACTGGCAGGAGGACTTTGAGCTCGATGGGCAGGCCCCGTTTCAGGATCCTCGAAGTATCTCAGAGAGCACCACTCCAATGGAAGGGGAGAACATGGGAGGTTGGTGGCCCGAGTACAGTACTCCTGACACAGGTGTGAGACCCGCTGGACAGTTTCCACTGGCATGCACACAGTCACCTGCACATTACTTTGGGAGGCCTGAGCTGTCTTTGTGTTTTCACCATGACTTAGTTTATTAAGCACTGGATTGTTGGTGCTGGTTGTCGTCTAACCTCCGACTGCTGTGACTGCAGGAACAGGGATTAGCTTGCTTTTATTTCTGCTTACACAGAAAGCTACAGTTAAGTTCATTCCCGCCTTATGAAGAAAAACCTGACATTGAGCACCTTCACTTTTATATTTTGCTTCTCATTTATGTGACTCAGTTTCCAGTGTTTTGGGGACATGTGCATGCTGGTTGAGCTGGCTGGTGTTTGTGTCTTAATGAACTGATTGTGACATGATATAAATGTAGGTGGCAAGATGCTTTCCATCTGTGGTAAGTTTTATTTTTATATTTTGGTCGTGTGCATGGTCACCTCCTTTTCTTTAATTCTTCTCCATCCTGTCTTCTGCACTGTTGCTGTCATAAAACCAAAAAATACACCAGCATTTGTGAAAAAAAAGATCACCCAAAAGTAAAAGCACTATAATGAAGTTAGAATTAATGACTGAGGACTTTTGGAAAACTGACTGGTGTCTTTTTTGGTTGTTTGTGGATAAGCACTGAGATTCTATTTCACACCCTGCCTCATAATCAGTAAATGAAGTTGTCAGTGAATTATTCTATACTCTTAAGAGATGCAGTTTTCTTAAATTTAAAATTTTGGATTTCTGGATTCTTCTTTTTTATAAGAAGAAAATCCTCCTTTTTTCAAGGGATGCACCAATCCAACTATTTCCAGTTCTCATATGGTACGGACCCCTGAGCTGATAGTACTGATCTGATGCCAGTATTTAATGAAGCTGTACTCGTTACTGTGATGAAGCTCCTCGGAGTTTAAAGGCTCAGCTGCCTTCCTTCCTTGTAACTATGAAAACTGGGCGGTTCCCCAGTGGTTGCGTTGATTTTTTTT